GATAGCTTGGCAGTTGGGTTGAAATGAATCTTCTTGTTGCTCTCCTCTATGACATTGTTAGTGTGTGTGCCATTCTCATGTTCTAATTGTATTTAGGTGCGGGGGCGAGTCTTGGCTGACTTAGATAAGTGTGGAGGTGGTGGTGCTGGATTGAGGTGGCTGCTTTCCCCAGAGCCTGAGCGGGATGATGTAGCGCCTCCTTCTGCTGATGCTTCTATTTTTCCTTTAGTTGATCATATTTTAAAAAGCAGCGATTACCAGTCAGCCGAATCCAAAAGGGCTTACCTAGAGGAAGCTTTGCGGATGGATAGCCAGTTAATTGAGTTTCTTGCAGAGGCTACAATTTCACAGTCCTCAAACCCTTTATGGGCAGCTGTCAGAAAATGTAGACTGACTGCAACTAAATTTGGGTCCATTCTGAGGCCTCTGAAAAATAACAGAAAAGTTCCACCATCAACCTTAAAGGCATTGCTGCATCCTGCATGTTTGGATAAGGTTCTTTCTGCTATCTGGGGCAGAGATCATGAGGGTACTGCAATTGCAGCATTCACTGAGAAGACTGGAAAGACTGTTTCACCTACTGGTATGTAAATAACTAATGATGGAAACTAAAATTATTTTTATTTTCAGGAACGTACAACTAATATTAATTTTGGTGCAGGTATCAAAATACTATACAACCCCCCTCCCACTGACTCACTCACTCACTCACTCATTGATATAAATGTTTGGCAACAACCATAACTGCTACAAAAACGTACCATAACTTTTTGGATCCGCGATACCCCATTTGACCCCAGAAAAACTCCCACCTCCATCGTTGGACCTCACTGGGGGCCGTAAAAAGGCCATGTACAAAAGGGTTGCGTGGGGAAAAAAAACAAGTCCAAAAAACTCGCCATTTTTTTATGGTCTCCTAGGGGGTAACTCGTCATTTTGGCGCCTTAGGTGAAAATTTCGTCCGCGGGGATCTACGACGCACCGTTTCGGCGCTAGGCCATGCTTTGTAATAAAGTTGTCAAAAACTGTAACATGGGGTATGTTTGAGGAGGTAAATTGTCATTTTGCGACCCT